GGAGAACACAGAGCCTCAGAAAATTTCTTTGATTTCCCTAGTAAGAATCGCCCTGAGAAACTGGATAATTGAAGTGTATATATATGTATAAAAGCGACGACTGGGGAAAATGAGGGAAGGGTGTCATTGAAAAAAATAATTATAAAACCTTCTTGTGAAACAAACTACTTTTAGTTGATTGAGCAAACTTTTTTCGTGGAATTACCCAAGATGCTTTGAATAGCGCAGACAGAAACCCCTCGCGTCTTCGTCATTTGTTCTTTCTCTTCTTTGATGAATCTGTTTTGAAGTCGGTCGCAAGCAATGTCAACCATGGAAGTCATTTCCTATCATCAGAGCTCCTTGGTGAATGTATCGAGAGGTAGTAGACGTGATGGGTCTTGTACGGTCACAAGGAGGTGTGCAATTATTTAGGTTTATATTCAACTGTATCACATGCATATGATGATAAAGCCGCTGCGGAGTCTCGAGGGTTGAGTAAGGTTACTCAGCTGTTATTAGCTATCAAGTTGCACACCCAGTGAACCGTAATCTTGTAACGGTTTCAGGTCCACCCCGTTGAACGATGTGAAGTAGCCACGAAAATAGCTAAGTGAGATTTTGTTCCTTCTTATGATCAACAATTTTACTTACTCAGGTTATTGATCTGCTTCTGGTCACTGGGAAGGAGTTTATTGCTGTTGTTTCTGTTCAACTGATATTTTATACATGTTCATGATTTCTTCCTTACCTTCAGGTCCCCGCAGTTCCATATTCTTCTCGCGCTTCGTTTGTCCGCTATCAAAGAAATACTGAATGGTAACCGTTATTTGTTGCAGAATCTATGGAGGAGCTATAATATTATTATAATGATAATGTGACCTGAATGTTTTGTCATGTGTTTTTTGCCATGAATTTAGCCTTTTGATGCAAAGTGTGATCAATAAACAAGTTCGAGGGTTCGTAGAATCTTTCACAGAACAACACACCGAAACCGGGCTAGATTCACATGGGAAATGAGAGTGGCTAAACCCGCAGTAGAGCACGAGCAAACGAGGGATAGCGGTGGTGTACGTCGCGGAGCTTCGACTCCCACTTACGGGTTGCAAACCTCCGTTTTCATGTAGAACCGAACCGATTGACAGGAAGAGATCATAAATTCAATGTGGCAATCAATGGGGAAGCACACTCATCTTTCAACCACGTCGTGCGACAGTTTGCCCAGAATTTTCTTACTCTCCTGCCCCACCAGGGGACTGATAGGAAAAAGACATTTCGTTTTCATACTTGCTGAAGCCAATTACAATTCTCAAGCTGTAACCGAAAGCTTCCAACTTCAAATTAAAGCGCTCATTCCGTTCTGTTTAAAAAAAGCTTCATAATGTCCTTCTGCGTAGACGATTTGAGGAGGATTTGCCACGGAAACATGGCTGATGGGCCCAACTCAACGGGGTTCCCAACTGATCATGTACCATTACGAAGTTACTAAAGAAGAGGGTTTGCACAGAGTTAGCATGACCGCAATCGCTAATATGTTTGAGAACCTAACACATAGTCAATGGATGTTAGAAGCTACGTAATGAATGCGGACCTCTTCGAACTTGGCGGGGATAGGTGATGATGTCATATCGTGAGGCCGATGAGGGCAGTAAGCGAGGGCTTTTGTCGATTTTTATAGGGGCTTCAAGGTAAACTGCATGAGCCCTAAACTTGGACAAGATGTCGTTTTTTGTTCTCCCACCTGTAAGCATAGATAACATTGTTGTTGAGGTTTAGATTGCAATATGTCAAAAAGGACTTGTGTGCTGTGCGGCCAATGCTGCGACAGGAGCATCATGAAACAAACAATTTTGAATAAGAAATAGAATACAGTGTTGAACCGCCTCTCTTTCGTTCTACTCGGATATTGGAGAGAGAGCAAGTAATAAAGGCAAGTACATATGTCAGCGTCACGTTGTTCTGGCGGTAAGATGAAATCAAATTGCATGTTACTCAATGTGGATATAAGTTGATCAATAAACAGGCTCAGTTTCTGTCTGCTGAAATTGTGGTCTCGGAGAGGAAGCCATTGAAGTTTCACGAATTCCCTTTGGCAAGGGAAAGAGTCGCAGGGCTGTCAATGCTGATGTACCTGAGAGCATCGTTGGAATGAGAAATTCTATGAGCGACGTAAGGGTAGACATGAACGGCAGATCTCATTCAGTGGCTATTTCTTTACCTTATTCAGAGGAGCTTTGTTATTGGAAGAGAGGATGTGCTGTCATTTGTCAACAGCGCTCGAAAGGACTACCATGGAACCATTATATGGCCTGAGCACCGGGAGGAGGAGGAGGTTAAAAACACTCCGAGCAGCGCTTTCAATAGAGTAACGAGTAAGCGACCACAAGTTCAGGAAAGGATGAAGGAGGGTTCTGCTACCGACACAAGAGCGTCGCCTGTTCCTGCCGAAGCACTCAATGAAGTGAAAGCAGAAATCCGTGAGGATGTGGGAATGCCTGAGGAGATCGAATGGAGTGATGATGAGCCATCATCGAGGGTTGCAGAGGTTTGGAATTGGAACGTGCTCGTTTTGAAGGTAGTATAGGAAGTCCATTTCAGGATCCGGAGTACCAGCCCAGTGGCTCCGAATCGGACTGCAGTTTCCTGGGCACGAACGAACATCTTGGGCAGACGGATGACGCCGACAAGCAGAAGTATTTCCTCGTTAAAGGGGAAAGACTTCTAAAGCTCTTCCGTTTCTGCCCCGAGTGCGGACACCGGCTGGGCAGCACGCAGCTTAGAGCTGTGGGGACTGCAGC